CACGACAGTTCAAAAGCTCGGCATACCCCCAGCCCCCTAACCCCCAGATACAGAGATCCCAGAGGAGACCTGAGGCAAGGTCAGGGACACACCATCCCAGCCACCCAGCTGCCCGGCCTCTCTTTCTCTACTCTCCCTCCCCTGCAGGCAGCTGAAGGAGTCGAGCTGGTGAGCTGATTGCTTTACTGGGAACTCTTCCCCATCATGCCGTTATCTCTAGAGTCCCCACCGTAGACGTCCACTTGCACTCTGGCCGTGCCCTCTGCATTGTCCTGGGTGGTCGTTTGCTGCTGTCCATGGGGCAGGGCCTACGGGTAGATGCCACGTTCCCGTCAGAGAAAAGAGCCCTACTCTAGGGCCTCAGCCCTCGGGACTCTTTGGGACTAGGTCTGGGAGCCTGCGGCCACCCATGCGACCCCTTCAGGGTTGAAGAGTCCTGGAAGAGGAGCAGGAGGGTGCGCTCCACTTCTCCACAGCAGTTCCACAGCAACAGCTATGCAGACCCTACCCTAGAGGCTCGCTGAGGCACCCGAGACTCAATGGCCTGGACGTCCCCGGCTCATGGAATCTCATGGGCTCTTGTGAATGTTTGGTCTCTCGTCTTGACGGCCTCAGGGCCTGGGGAACCCTGGGAGGACCGTCCTAAAAGTCTGTTTCGGGAGGAAAGCAGAAGCAGGAGGACCCAGCAGAGAAGGGGAAACAGCCCAAGCCCCTCTGGTCCTACACGGAATCCAGCTGTAGGGCCTTCTCAGCCAGGTGGCAGCTGGCCTCTCTGTGGACTGGCCTGCGGGCCCCCACATTCTTCCAGAGCAGGCCCCTGCCCGGGTACCTTCAGACAGAGTGTCCTGAGAGGCTCCATACAGGGTGTGCTAGGCGTGAGCTTTGTCCCTATTGAGTCTCCCCTGTGGTGGGAGAGAGAATGTTCTCCGCCTAGAGGTGACCTCCTCACCTCTCCCGAGAAGCCCGAGTCCCACTCCTCTCCCAGTGCCTCCTGCTTGGTTTCGGGGAGCCTGTCATGCATCATGCCAGTTCAAAACAAGGCAACAACCACCATCTTCCTCTTGGGCCAGGCTTCGACTGAAGCCTCCTTTCCCACTCCCACCCCCTGCTGTCCGCCTTCATGTTCTTTCCCACTTCTGACATGTCTTGGACATGGGCTTCCCTTCTCCCTTTCCCCTGTTCCCTTCCCAGCATCCCTCCATCTCCTCACCCCGCCCCCCCCCCACTTGAAGCTGGCCACAGCCCCATCCAGGAAGCCATGGGGCCTGATCTCTGCTGGGGAGTCTGTGGGGTGGGGAAGAGTCCCTGGCCAGGCTGTCCCAGCCAGGGTCTGGGAGCTGGCAGGACTGACGGTCGCCGGCTCAAGATGGCTTTGAGCATCATGGAGCCTGAGACGCCCCCCGCCCAGTGGGGACCCTCCGACTCTGAGCAGCTACCTCAGGAGCAGCCCTGATATGTGTTCAGCATTTCGTGGCTTCCAAAATGCTGTCACATCTGTGGTCCTCAAAGACTCCTTAAGTAGGGAAAGTGAGGCTGAGCGATCCAATGGCATGCCCCCAGTCACCTGGTCAGCTAGAAAATGGCAGAGCTAGGACTCCCAGACAGGTCTTTGGGCTCCAAGAGGCTACCACTCCCATGAGGCCTAGGCCTCAACTTGGACTGCAAGCCTGTGGCTGCAGCAGAGCTGGGCATGGAGGGGGACCCCAGGGCGGGCAGGCAGGCTGGGGGCAGGCACCTGGGAAAGGCAGCTCTGTGTGGCACTAGTGCCCACCTCTCCCGTGGCCGGGCCCGTGGTCGGGGTGGTAGAGGCGGCCAGAGAGGCCCATGTCCGGAGCGCCCTCACCTGTACCCGGGCCTCGGTTAGGTCCGTGCGCAGAGCCAGCTGCTCCCGGGCATACACATCAGGGTAGTGGGTTTTCTGGAAGACTTTCTCCAGCTCCTCCAGCTGGAATGTGCTGAAGGTCGTGCGGTTACGGCGTTTCTTGCTCTTGTTCTTGGCCAACTCCATGGAGTCAGGGAGTCCCGGGGACAGAGGGACACGCAAGCTGGCCAGACAAGGGCCTGGGGAGCCTTGCAAGTTAGAGGGCCCGTCCCTGGGGCCCCCTCGGCAGTCCAAGGGCAGCTGGGGGAAGCTGGCAGCTTTGGAGGCCTTCTCCTCAGCTGCAATGGAAAACACAAAAAGGAGGATGGAAACCGAACCAGGAGGTTTTGTGGGTGGACTGGGGGAGGGGGAAGAACGTTGACGCTTCAGTCCCCGCCTCCCCCTTCCTTTCTCTTCCCTTGTCCCAGCAGCCACCCTCCATGGGAGCCTGGCATTCGGAGGCCTGCTTGCTGAGCCTCCAGCTGGGGAGGGGGCCCTAGGGAACCATGTGCTCTGTGGTCTGGGCGGATCTGCTGGGGCCGGAGGAGGGTTCATTTCAGGGAAGTGCTTTGTGGTGGTGCATCCCACAGGGTGTGGAGGTGCCAGGATTGGCGCCGTGGCAGGGCCCAGCACAGAGGCGCAGGGGCGGGAGGAGGGGGCGAGGATGGGGTGTTCGACATCTCCCGCCCCTGCCAGGAAGTGCCTCCTTGTCCCTGACTGTGGGCCTTGGTTCCCAGGTCCTCACGCCCATGCATCGGGTCCCAGGTCCAGGCAGGCAATGGACAGGGGCACTCAGATCACTGTTGGCTGGTCTGGCTGTGCCTCATTCTCTGGACCCCGAGTCTCAGGACAATCCCGGCCCTGGGGTATGAAGGGCAAGATGGGATAAAGATGCTTCCAAAAAGATTGTCTCATGCCTCTGAAAACTGTGATGTTTGGGCAAGGACTCGAGCTGCAGCGTTAGAGAGGCAGGAGACAGGCTATGCTCAGAGAAGGAGAGACAGCGGACCAGCGTCAAAACAGCATCCAGCCCCCAACCCCATCATTCTGGTTATTGTCTGCCCCCTCCCTTCTCAGCACAGTTTCTGATGGCTCCCCCATTGCCCTTGATTAGCGAGCAGCGGGGTGGGGGGTCTTGGCTGCAGCTGGGCCCAGCTGCCAGCAGCCCCACTCTGACATGCTAGCCCTCAGGAAGCTTGGAGCTCTGTCACAACCCCAGGGCATGATGAAAAATAGGTCACTGCTGATGCTCCGCCCTCTCCTCTGGAGAGGCCCCCCAGCAGCGCCGCCATGAAATCTCTCCTCGACAGTCCTCCCAGGAGCTCCCGCCACAAAGACGCCCCACTGACTCACGCAGCCCTGCCCTGGCCCTGGCCCATCCCCGGCAGGGGCCTGGGCCCCAGCAGGCCCAGCAAGCTGGCACCAAGAGGCAGTTTCTTCCTTGGGACTTGGTGTCGGGATCACAGCTGTCATCAGGGAAGGAGGGGACCAGAGAGATGGGATTTTCAGGTTCTGGCTCCCTGGCTGCATTACGGAGGACAAGTTGGGCAAGGTCCCCCTCAGCTGGAAGGTGGTGGGTGACCTGCCTGGACCAGCCAGGCTGGGCAGTAAGCTCCATGTTGTGAGAGCCTGCCCCCCGGGGGCTGTGCACGGCAAAAGCCTAGGCGCCGGGTCACAACTCAAGTGGAACATAGGGAAGAAAGGGCACCAGCCACTGACTTCCATTCTTAGCCAACATGTTTTGGTTCTAGAGGGAGGTGCACTGGTAGCAGCTGAGGAATAAGGACTCATGGGAACTGAACCAAATAACTGAATGGTCAGGGAGACTGGGAGACTAAAATTTTCGAGGGCACCCCACGTACAACATCTTTGAGAAGTAGAGTCTTGGGAGTCCTGGGTTCTGAGGGAGGCACTGCTGGACTCCAGGCAAAAAAAGGCTGAGAGTGGCTCAGGGAAGGGGGTCAGGGGAGCACCGATGTCACTGTAGAGGGCTCCCCAAAGCTCTGAGGCCTGCTGATCCGGCTCTTGAGCCTTCGGTGGCTGTCCTAACAGGATCTGCCCAGAGGAAGGGACTAGCTCTGGGCTCTGAGCTGCCACAGCAAGAGAGACAACGGGCAGCAGGACTTTTCAGAATAGCCACCGGAAGAGGGGGCCAAGCCTGCTGGCCTCTGCTGGCCTCCCATGCCTGCCCGTTCTACAGCCCTTCCAAGGGATGGGAGCACTTCTCCCGTCCCTGTTGCCATTGCCCTGAAACCTCCATCTGCCTGGAGGGCTCCAGGGAAAAGCAGGCATTCCTCCCTCTTTGGGGGAACAGGGGCACACCTCACAGAAGAGCAAAGCCCAGTGCTCTGGTGCAGGTGGGATCAATGAAGGGCAGCGGTGGAGGAAAGGAAGGAAAGGCAGAGTAGTTAGGCAAGCCAGCAGTTTGCATCTGAGCTTGTAAAGAGAAGGGTGCATGCACCCCACAGCGCCCAGCACTTTCAAGGTGTGTGCAGGCCGTGTATAGGATTCACTTGCACCTGGTGGGGACACCGTGTGGTTGAGGGGGAGTGCTCATGGTGGAGACTGGTATCCGTCCTGGGGCTCAGCACCAGGGTGTCCACAGCCTGCAAGACCACAACACCACAGCAGAAGTCTGTCGGGCCTGAAAGACGGGAGCCCGTACGGAAACCTCTGAGGCAGCGACGGTGCTGCGTCCCTGACTCTGCTCTCACGCCCGCTGCTCTCCTCCACCCCCGGGGCCGCCAGAGCCCCTGCTAGCGGCTGTCTCAAAGCCAGGGCAGCATCTCGGGAGCAGTACCGCTTGGGACGCCAACCGGGAGCCCCACTGCCCCCTCAGAGAGCGTCCCCTGAGGCCGCACGGCCAACCATCCGGCTTTCAGCTTCCGTGGGAGCCTTCCTCCGAGCCGGCGCCCGCGCCGTTTCCCACGCGATCCGCAGAGCTCGCCAAGGCCTGGGCTCTCGAAGCTCCGGCTGATAACCCGAAACCGTTATGGACAAGAACGCCGTGCGCCGGACTCTAGCGGGGCCTTGGAGCTCTCCCTAGAATTTCCAGCTTTGGCGTAGGGGCCTCAGCCGAGGGCCAGTGATTGGGAATCCTCGAGGTCTGCAGTCGGGCCGATGAGCGCGGCCCTCCAGTTACCCGGCTCGGGGCCTCCGAGTCGGTGGTTCCCAGGTCAGAGAGCCGAGCCAGGGGCGGCCCGGGCGGCCCCGGCGGAGCAGGAAGGAACGGCCGGGCACTGCTCCGGCCCTGTGAGCAGCCGCGCGCACCGGACTCCAAGGGTGGCTGGCACCGCCAGTACGCGGCCAGGGTCTAGGGCAGGGCTGGGCGCTCTCCGCCAAGGGTGCCGCAAAGAGCGGGAGAGAAGCGCCAGACTCTGGAGCGCGCGACTGCCCGGCCTCGGCAAAGATCGCGCCGCAGATGGGGCGCAGCTGCGCGCTCACTGGACTGAGCTGGAAACGCTCGCAGCCCGTCAAGTTAGAGGCCGGGAAATAAGGTGTGTTCCCCCATTGCCACCACTTCCTACCTCGTAGACCGTGCGGCCCTAGTCCCCCGCGGCTGTCCCTCCCCAGCAGCCCCGCTCCCCCGCAGGGACGCGAGCCGCCCGCGCCCACCGAGTTTCGGCCCTGGGCACCCGGGAGGCGAGCGGCGGCCGAGGTCCCAGGCTCGGCTCGCACCCGCTGCGCCTGTTTTTCGTTTGGCCTGTCGTCCGCTCAACTCGAATCGTCAATTTTCTTCTCCCACTTGATCTCATTTTGCTGTTTGCTGCTCTTTTAGGATGTCCTTTATTTTCCTTTCATTTTTTTCCTGCTTCTACTCTTTTTTGTCTTTTCCCTCCTCCAGGTACCCGCTTCGTTCGATCGTTGGATCCTCCGCTTGCTTTTTCTTCTTTTTCTGTTCGCTCTCCGTGTATTTCCTAATGTTCTGTCTTGCTTGCCGACATTCGTTGACCTCTCCTTCTCGCCTCTCTCCTCCGTTGTTTTGTTCAGTGTTCCCTCTTTTTGGTTGTTGTTAACACTCTTCGGGTTTACTTCCACGCATTTCGTTGTTGACACCCTCGCCGTCGCTGGGCCGGTCCCTCCACGCCCCGTCGCTCATTCAGCTTCAGCGCTCTCCGCACTTTGCCCATCCTGGCTTCCCCGCGGTGCGTGAGGGACCCGGTGCGCCCAGCAGGGACGCGGGCCCGAGGGGTGGGTCTCAGCCGACGCGCGCGCGCCCAGCTAGGCCGGGTACCTGTCCCCGGCGGTGCTCCTGAAGCTGCGCGGCCGCCGCCGTCTGGCTGGGATCAGAGGAGCCAGGCCAACTGCTTCTCATTAAGTCCCAACTGTGGTTTTTATCAGGAGAGCCTCTTTCAAAGGGCACAGACACGGAGCTCCGCGGACTCGCTCATTTCCTCCGCTGACCCCCACACACCTCCCCGCCCTCCCCTACACATTCCCATTGCCCCGGCTGAGCGAAGGCCTGAGCTGCCTGACCACTCTGTGGAGGCCCGCGAGGCGCCAGCGGGGTGGAGGCGGATTGGGGCCGACTTCAGAGGATTCAACTCTGGGCCTAAGGTGCGGGATGCGGCAGCGCAGATGGGCGGGCGCCCAGACTCCTACAGGTAGGTCGGTGCAGCGGGTGTCGGCGGGGCTGCGGGCCCGCGTTGCAGGCCCCGGTGGTCAGGCGCGTTCTGCGTCCATCTGGCCTCAGCGCATGGGGCACCGGCCCGGGGCCCGAGGAGCCCAGGGGACAGGCCCGCCAGGCTACTCTCGACGGCCCCAGAGGTGGCGATCCAGTGCGAGGAAGCCCAAGACTGCGAGAAGGGCGGCCCTCCCCGTGCATAACGACGGGGAGGCCAGGTTGGTCTGAGAAATAAGAACACAGTTATTCGGTATCGAGAATGGCCCCGGCACTCCGGGAACAGCCGCGGCCGCGCCGCCCAAAGCCTAACGCGCTGGCAGCGCCTTCCCTTCGGAGGCCGGGCCTGGGAGGAGAAGCCAGTGGAGGCCAGGCCGCAGCCCCCTGGTGTCCTGCTTGGCCCCTCCAGGTCGGGGCCCAAGCTCAGGACCCTGAACGGACGCCAGACACAAAAACCGAACTTCTCTCCCCGCATCGGGACCACGGGCTCAGTGCGGGGCCCAGGCCCTGGGCCCGGTCCCGGCTTCTGGGTCAGTGGCAGTTCCAGTCCAACTCCGGCCAAGCAGGATTTCTCTTTCCCGCCTCCGGTCGCCTTCGGGCCCGACTGGGCCGGGGGCCGTCGCAGCTCCACCCTCGAGCGACCTCCCCCTCCCCTTTCCCGCCACCGGAGGCTTGAGCGGCTCTGCCTCCCGCACCGCGCTGGCTTTGCCCGGCCGGGACCAGCGCCGGTGGGCCTTGTGAGGGACCCGTGGCGACGACGGGCTAGAGGGTCAAAACAGTGGAGAGCTGGGAGAGCGGGCGAGGGAAGCAGGGAGGCCCGGGCGGGCCGGGGAAGGGTGGGTGAGCGGGTCGGGGCTGAGCGCTACGCCCGCGCCGCGCGTTACCTTCCGCGGGGCCCTCGTAGAAGTGGCTGCCGTTGAGCGCCGGGCCGGGCCCGAGGTCCTGCAGGTACTTGGCGGGCGGCTTGGCCGGCTCTGGGAGGTAGGGCTCCAGGGGTCCGCAGGCCGGAAAACGGGTCAGGCGCGGGCCGCGGAGCGGCGCGGGGTGCAGGTGAGGCGCGCCGGCGGGGGTCCCGTGGGGGCCCGGTGGCTCGTCCCCCGAGGCCGCGTAAGGGCCGGGCCCGGGCCCCACGCCGAAAGGCGCGCAGCGCTCGGGGTCCATGCCGGCTCCCGGCGCACAGGCCGCCGGGGCTCCGGGCCTCGCGCTGCCCGTGCGGCCTGTGAGCGGCCGCCAAGGGGGAGGGACCTGGGCTCGGGGGCGCGGAGCCCCCGGGAGCGGCGCGCGCCGCGGGGGGGCGGGGGACAGGGGAGGGGGCCGCGCCTCTGACTTAATGCTGGAACCATCCACGTCACGTGCAGCCCCGCGCGGGTTAACCCCTCGGAGCCCGGGAGCCCCCTGCTTCACCCCAGCCCCCGTATTCGGAGGCAGTTCGAGCACAGGGAGGAAGCCACCTTCTCTCGACGGCAGGGTCCGCTTTGTCTGCACACCTTGGTGAGTCCCTCGCTCAGAGCAGCAACCTCGGTCCTGATACCCTGCCTGGAGGCTCTTGCCCCTAGGGGCTTGAGGCACCTGGGGGGAGAGCCTCCGCTCCCAGCGAACACTTTTAGGCCTGGGCTCCTGACAGAAACCTGGGATCAGGGCGGGGTGGGGGAGGGGCTGGGCTGGGACTTTAACCCAAGCCTTTGCTAGGAGCTGGAAAAACGTTGCCTCCAGCAAAAACACCTCTCTTGGGGATTCCTTGTTCCTCACGGGGACGGGAGCCCTTGAGAGAGATGTGTGGAAACAGCACTACTCCGGGAAAGGGGGCTGGGAAGCTTGGGCCTGGGCACTATCATTAATTAGCTCTGGGACCTTGAACTGTCACTAGTGTCCTCATCTGACTCTGGAGGCTGGATTGAGTCAATCCTTAGAGCTTTTCTGTGTATTCCTGGTGGGTCTGAGAAGCGGAGACAGGGCCAGAAGGGACAGGGTTCAGCAGAGGTTGACTTTGGAGCAGGTGGAGGAGTACCTAGAGGGTTTGGGGTTTGAACAGGAGGCATGGAGTGGATACCTCTCAAATGATCTGGAAGTGCCTGGGGATCCACTGGGGAAAGGCTGGTGGTAGGTAGCCCAGACCTCAGGGCCCTGCTGCCCCAGGCCTGCCATTTTGCAGGGAGGTGAGGGTAGGGTGGCATGTCCTAGAAGTTGAGCCTCCCAGCCAAAAGGAAGCATAGGACTAGCGAAGTAGCTTGGAATTTCTGAGAAGAGAAACAACCCCCACCCTAAGACCTGGGAAGAAAGTCCTGAGGACCCTGGAACCCTGCTCACTTGTGTGGATTGAGGGGTTCCTAAGTCTGGGTTACACTGCTTTTTATTTTCATACTTCCAGGGACTAGTGAGAGGGGTGGGGAGTCAAATATCATTTGTATTTCATTTGAATTCTCAATTTTTAAAGGAATCCAAGAGGTCTGGTGTGAACACCTCCCTCTTCCGCTGGGGGCTTAAAGGGGGTTTCTTGGCTGTCCTCAGCCAGAGTTGGGCTGTAAATCAAGGCCAAACAGGAACCAGAAGCCTTGCATCTCACAAGTAGTCATTAAGCCATTATTAAACATACCGTAACTTCTCTGAAGCCTTATTGGTTTAAACACCACATTGGAGGCATTATGGCCATTAGGGCCCCTAATCACAGACTGCAGGCTGGGGCGGTGGGATGGGAGCACCTGGGGCTGGAATTTCCAGCCAAGAGGGAGGCTCAGCTCAGAATTAAGCTTCCTCTCTGACCTCACCAGGAAGATCCATTCTCTAGGATCCAGTGGATCGCAGCTCTGGGCAATCCATTTGCATTGACCACTTTTGCTCGTTAATAAGGTTTTCAATAGTTATGGGGCTAGGGCTGTGGATACTGTCGACTTTTTAGGAGGATGTCAGCGTCAACTCAGGACACTGCTTCTGTTCAACAAATCATCAAGCAGCTTATTGTGAGCGATGTGAGTAGGACGCAAGAAAAATATCACCAGCAATTTAAACAAGGCAGCTTGGCTTAAATGCCAAGTGTTTTGCCTCAGGTGGTAACCTTTCTCAGCCTCAGGTGTCTTGTCATAAAAATGGGCCATGCTTGGCGGGATGGACGAAGGATTTTTGAGAAGCACTTCTGTTTTGATGGACGTGATGAACTGTGTTAATTAACGAGATCATTATTACCATTACAATACCCAGAAACAGCAGCCCAGGGTTCTGAGTTCCATCACTGAATTGGCGGAAGACTCCTGGCCCCAGGCTGCATGGGCTACAGGCTGGGGCCGATCAGAGAGACCTAGGGACTCACACCCCAGCCCAAGCGCAGAAGCCCCTCCTGCCATTCCCCACTCTCTGAACAGAACCAATTTCCATGCTGCCAGTTGAACTGAGGCAGCAGAAAGCCCCAGCGGACATTCAGATTGGATGCGTAGATAGAGTTGCCCTACTGAGAGGCTTTTTTCCTAGGGTCATGCAAGACAGGGTACAGCTTTCCTGTTCCGCTTTTAAACCACTAGTGCAAACGCCTATCTGTATGAGGTCTGGAAAGAGTTTGATGGGGCAGAGGTGCATAGAAAACACAAAAAATGGCACTCTTAGAGATACTTAGTTTTTCTGTTAGGAGGGCTGAGAGATCCTGGAGTACACAGGGGCCCTCATTTTACAGATAAAAACAACAGCTGACTTATCTTGCAGCATGCCAGGCACTGTCTGACGTATCCTGTAGACACCGGTTTGTTTAATTCTCACAACAACTCCATGAAGTAGGCACAACTATTATCCCCATTTTACAGAGAAGAGCCTGAGGCCACAGAAGGAGCCATTTGCCCAGAGTGGACACAGCCACTTAGTGGCAGAACCAGAACTTATGCCCAGATCCACGGTCTCCCACCTGACTCTGACCATCAGTCCTTCTTCAGCCAACATGACAAATCTGAAATGATTCAGTGCACACCCTCCTTTTCCCGGAGGAAGGTTGGGACTTTTTCCTGAAAAGGAAGTTGAGGCCAGAGTGGATCAGGGACAGAGTTGGCCCAAGGTGGAGCCACACTACTGCCTTCCTGATCACCTAGTGGCAGTTTATTGAGACATGCCTCACCCAGCTGTGGTGGCTGGGATAGTAGGTGGAGGGTGTTTTCTGCTAAGCTGATACCAAATGAAACACAGCGGCTAACACCTGAGAGGTTTTTACGACCCACTGACACAGCCAGATGTGGGGCAGAGGTTTAAGAGAATTTGCGAGTTTCCCCTTTGTGCTGCTTAATAATAACCAGTTCCGTTACAATAGTGTATATCCACGGACTAAGTGAGATGAGCTGATGGGATGATCCAGATCATTCTAGGTCCCATCATGAAAAAACTCAAAACAACAAAAACCACCACCCCAAAACTAAAACTTTCCACCCGCTGAGAAAAACTGCTTTTGAAATCAAAATGAGTCATTTGGGGCGCCTGGGTGGCTAGTCGGTTAAGCACCCGGCTCTTGATTTTGACTCAGATCATGATCTCACGGTTCGTGAGTTTGAACCCCGCATTGGGCTCTGCGCTGACAGCGAGGGGCCTGCCTGGGATTCTCTCTCTCTCTCTCTCTCTCTCTCTCTGTCCCCCACCCTCCAAATAAATAAATAAACATTAAAAAAGTAAAATAAAAACGATGCTTACTGGCTATGTCTATGCAGCTGTTTTACATTAGCTAATTGTTTCATTCATTCATTCATTCATTCATTCATTCATTCATTCATTCATTCAATAGGAGGACTCACTATGTGACGAGCATTTGTTGGCCCTGCCATACAGACGTGACTCCCGCCTTCATGAGGCACACACTTTGCTGGAATGGAAGTGTCTCCCCCACAGCTGACACAAGCATCATTTGGACGTGAATTAGAACGGGATCTGGTCTCGAGAGCAGAGTTCCTAGCTTCCAGCCTCACCTGTAAGGTCAGTTCTTGAATTAGGGAGCCGGTCCCAACTACTGCTTTCTTTGGTTTTGGACCACCCTCAGCCTGCACCACATGAAGGCGAACGTTCTTCCCTTTGTCCCCAGTGGCTATCCAAAAGGGGCCGGAACAGCGGGAAAGATGTAAACCCAGATCTGCCACATACGAAACTTCCTTCCAGACAGGAAAAACTCCGTTGCTTTGTATTTTTTTCTTCCAATGGAAGATAGTTGGTATTACCCTTGTCTTGTTTAGACTCTGAAATCCTAAATTGATCCCTATGAAAATTCTGGGTTTGGGAGCCTAAGTAGATTGTTTCTCATTAGTGACATTCTTCCTGGAAGGTCAGGCTAAGGAATGGTAAATAAACCCTCAGATCCGGTGCTTCCTCCTTACCCATGATTTTTAAAAGAAAGAAGGAAGGGGGTGGGAAGCTTTGGGCTGTGGATATACCCAGAATCCTGGGCTGTGATTCTGACAATCCAGGCTGTAGTCTGTGCTGTGGGGTGAAGTTTCTGGGGAGTTACGGAACTATTTTTTCTCTTCCGTTCATTTGATCTGTTTTGCTGGGAGAGTCACTTAACCTGCCGGTACCTCCGTTGCTCTCCTGGAAGAGGACAGGGATAGGATTTTGTAGGCCAACTTCACCGGAATGAACAAAACAGTGTTTATACAGATGTTTCTTGAGCCCGACTCCACCCTGAACCTATATTTCCCTGCTTTTGCTCTCTGCCCGCCTCCCTGGGGTCAGGTCGGGATGGGGGCAGTGAACAGAGAGGCGGAGCTAGGTCTGGGATGTGTCCTGAGTGCCTGGTGTGGCCCGATGTCTGCCTAACTGCCTTTGTGTGAAGGTAAATGAGTTCTGTGGCAAGGGCCAGCTCAGACCAGGAGAAGTGATTTTGTGGGAGAGTTTTCTATGAACTCATTCTTGGTGTAAAACAGAAGGAGGCAGGTTTGGACTTCTTGGCAGTTCGAATACTTTGATCAATTAGTATCGTGCATTCATGTATTCATCCAGCATTTAAAAAAATTTTTAATGTTTATTTATTTTTGAGAAGAGGGGCAGGGGCAGAGAGAGGGAGGGAGACACAGAATCCGAAGCAGGGTCCAGGCCCTGAGCTGTAAGCACAGAGCCCGACATGGGGCTCGAACTCATGAACCACGAGATCATGACCTGAGCTGAAGTCGGACGCTTAACCCACTGAGCCACCCGGGCACCCCTCATCC